TTTATATGAAGCATGTTTTTCTTCGTCCACTGACCATTTGCACTGCCTACAGAACGAAAGAACTTCTTGTAGCGATTTTATTCACTGCAAGAAACACATGCTAACGCTTTCATCCTTTAACACAAGACTGATTTCTTTTACTGCAAGATGTTTCTTGCAGTGAAGCTGGTTACAGCAAGAAGTGACAAGAAAAGTGTTCTTGCTTTCTTGCGCAAGAAAGATAGTTTCTTGGGGCAAGAAAGAGGCAAGAATGCGCAAGAAACGATTCTTGGGCAAGAAATGTCACAAGATCTTGCATTCTTGCTTAACAAGAACATCGACTAGGGTCTCTTTAGTATTATATTTAATTTGATAATCTGAAATGTTTTTTCTTTTTCTGTACACTGTAAAAAAAAATGTGTATCTAAAAGGCACGGTTTATCATGCTTTCTTTTTGAAGCGGATTCAAAATGCTACTGTGAGGAACACTTTCAAAACGTGTTCTTCCTTGGAATATTTTTAAAAGCATTCAAAAAAGAAGCGTGACCAATAGGAACCGTTCTTTTCAGGTGCACTTTAAAAACTATTGTTTCTCAGCACATTTTTGTGAGTACCTCTACTTGAAGCGTTTTTCTAATCGAAATATTGCGTAGCATTTTCAAAATGTGTTATTCCTCGGCGAAAGAGCTTACGTATTCTTCGAGTCTTTGCTGCTTCAAAGCTGAGGTACACTACATCTTACTCATCTTTTTATCTGTTGTTCTATAACTGCGAGTTTTGGTCGTTTTCATTATTATAGCACTGAGAGCAACAGATAGTTTTTTTGGCGTAGAATTCAAGAAATAATGAGAGCACCTAATGCGATAATCTCCACGCCAAAAAAACTATCTTTCGTTCTTAACGCTATAATAATGAAAACGACCTGAATAATGAAACGACTAAACGGCTTTAGAAGAAGCAAAGGAAAATAATGCCTCAGCGAAGGAGCAAATGAAAAAGCTAACGAATGTTTTCTTTAATCACAGATCAGTTTCAATTTAAGAGGCAGTAATAAGAGCCACAGGTATGAATTTAAAACAGTGTAGTCGAGCTGTTTTTATATTTCAGCACATTCGAGTTGTGTTAGATTTTTGAAACCTAAAACACAGGAAAATTTACCTGAGGATTCCACTGGCATTGACTACTTAAACATTGTTGACAAATATTTCGATCGCCCAAACGGACAAGAGTTTAACATTTGTTTAGCTGACTTTTGTGCCTTGTATCACATTGATTCAAACCCATGCAATAGAGTACATAGCAAACGTTTACAACGCTTATCGTCGAGAGAACAGTGCAATAATACGATTTATGCGATTTAGTAAGGAAAGGCAGCCGGGAGATTATTACGAGAATATATTAATATTGCTTTTATCAATTGATTCACCAGAAGATTTAAAAACGGGAGATTGGTATCAGCAATTTTATAAAATTTGGGTATTTCTCGATGTTACTGACAATACAATTCAAAGAGTTAAACCAGCTGTTGATGAGAATACGGCAAAGTATGAGACATACAATGCAGATTTAGAGGGAATGGAAGATACATTTCGAAAAGTAGCAGAGGCGACTGAGATTGAAGAATGGGCGTTAATGGTACATAGAAAACATCGTGTGATTGAACAATTACGCGAGTCAAGAAATGAGGAAAATGCTGATCTTAATAGCATGTTTCCGAATAAAGTTGTGAAACCTTCAACGAATTTAGATCACATCAAACAAGTTATTGTTCAGGACAACGTTTCAAATTACTGAGAACAATGAATGAGAAACAGCAACATGTATTCTACTATGCTCGCCACTGGTGTCTTCGTAAACAGTAAAATAAACTGATTTATCATGCAGTAACAACTGATTCTCAAACATCATTCTACTGCAGACACAACACACAAAATCTGGTCCTTCCTTTGAAATAGTTTGGAACTTCTCCTACTGTCTGACATAGAACGGCCTTAAATTGCCTGCAGTCTTTTCTTCTGTCTCACGTATTTTCTTTACTAACCTTTCCACATTTCTGCTCTTTTTCAATCGAAGAATTATTATGATATCAAAATCCGACATCATGGAGACACTCCCCTTGACGCAAGTTCAATCTTGACCAATCTGTTTCCACCAAAGCTACGTTCACTAATTTGCCAATTTCCAGCTGCATATCCTAAATATCCCAAACATCCTATATATGCCAAATATCCCAAATATTCTAAACATCGTATATATCCTAAATAACCTATATATGTCAAATGTCCTAAATATCCTCAATATCCTCAATATCCTCAATATCCTAAATATTCTAAATATCCCAAATATCCTAAATATTCTAAATATGTTAAACGATATTTAGGATATTGAGGATATTTAGGACATTTGACATATATAGGTTATTTAGGATATCTACGATATTTAGAATATTTATGATATTTAGGATATTTAGAAGATTTAGGTTACATAGGGTATTTAGGATATTAAGGATATTTGGCATATTAAGGTTATTTAGGTTATATACGATGGTTAGAATATTTTGGATATTCAGGATATAATTGGCATATTAAGGTTATGTAGGATATATACGATGTTTAGAATGTTTAGAATATGCAGGATATATAGGATATGTAGGATATTTGGAATACTTAGGATATTTAGAATATTTGGAACATATAGGATAATCCACAATGCAAAAGTAATTGTGGAAATGTCGGAGTCTGGTTCTCCGGCTTGGTACATCGTAGAAAGTTCATTCTTTTTCTGGTTGAAAGAGCAAAGTCTGAACTTGAAAAAATATAGAAAAATTTAAAATATACAAAATTTTTGGGATTGACTTGGAGGAAGAAAAAAGCTTGATACCAAACGTCGTCAAAAACGCTCTTGCAACTTTTTGTCCTCTTCAAATGTATCTCTCATATCAAACCTATTTTTCCCTATAACAGAATATGTTGGAAATTATATAATTATAGAAACTAGAAGTGTTTTTATTACTCTTTCAAATGGGGTATGATAAATTATGCTTTGATCCACTTTTCGAGAGGAACTTTGCAAGTTTTTCAGCAGTTTCAAAAAATAGGTAATTAGACTTGATTAATAATTTCCAGATACGGGACGAATTTTCTGCTTTTTCTAAAACACATTTTCTGGAACAGCACGCAATTCTCTACAAATTCAAATTAGTTTCAACCTGGAATATTTAGAGTTGATGAAGCCAGAAAAGGATATTATTTATTTATTAATGTCTTGTTTTGCACATTGACTTTATCCAAAAAAATTTTTTTAAACAATTATTATGTTATATCATCGATTAAGTGTTCATTCACCGCGCTTTGCATCATTTCTCCCTCTATCGTTAATGATTTGTATATGGAATTTATAAGACATAAGAATCCTTAAAGAATAATTTCAAGAACGTCGACTAGTGAAAGAAAATGTGAAAAGAAAACATAAACATACCATTTTTGCTGTTGTTTCACCTTCATTAGAATAAGAAACAGAGTGAGTTAAGGTGCCTGACTAATGTGCGTTTAAAGGAATAAAATATTCATTCGATTACAGTGAGTAAAAGGTATTTCATGTATCAATTCCATACAGCACTAAGACATTTTTCTCATACAAAGTCGATATTTTCTAACTGCGTTCATCATGACGCTGTTGTTTGTGTCACTGTTAGATTAAATTAGAGAAATTAGGAAAAATACGCAGTTGATTGCAATTAATATTTGTCCATGTCATATGAGTACGTCAACGTTGTTGATACTGTTCCGGGTGAATGATCACATATCAACTTGTCCTGTTCGTTCCTCACTGGAAGGATCTCTCTCAAACAGCTTCAGGAGCCCCTCAATAAGAAGATTAAAAACGAAAATTTGAGCGCTAATCTTGAAACTAAAGCAGTCATTTGATGCCTTTACTTGTTGCATAAGAAGGCGTGCCTCATTAAGAACTTTGAAAAACAACGCCGGTCGGGATTCCGACATAATACGGCATGCTTTTGGTAGGATTGTGCCAGATTTCATCGGATTCCGGCATGCTCCGGCGTCGAATCCTATCGGATCTTTCAGGAACTTGTCGTTGGAATCATCGGCCTGGGTGCTATCTAAACCATAGAGAAAATGCCTTGGTCGAAATGTTTTGTTTTCTGTTCCAGATGTATTTCGTTACACTTTTACTATGTACTAAACTGCAAAAACAAGTGTCAGTTTCACTAATGAATAGAATGTAAACATAATCAGAGTTGGTCTTGAAAAGCTGAACAAGTGTTTCTTCAATTACAGAATATACTGCTACTTGTCCCGTGTCTTTTCTAGAGGTCGTTTCTAGGACCCATCAGTTCCAAACAGCCTAATAAATGGTAAGTCAGGCGACAAAAGGAGCTGATCAACCACGAGCTCAATGGTATTGGAAATCAAATTCTGATCCATGCTCAACAAATGGAAATGAAGAATGGACAAAATATTCTGATATCGAATCATCGATTATCGAAGAAGCATTTAATCAAACGGATAAAACAAAACTAGCTGAACTGGATAATTATTCGATTAACTTAAACGATTTCATTCAAATCAGTAAATCGCATCCAAATAAACAACGGCAAATAAAACGGGTTCTAACTAGTAGAAATGAAAGTCAAGGTTTAAAAGAAGAAAGATTCTTTCTCACACCAGAATTGAGTAAAACGTTCACTGATGACTGGGGCAAAGAAGCTTATATTTTTCTTTCACAGTGGAAGAAAGGCAAGGAACTCTCTAACGCTGAAATAGTAGAGCAGGCAGTGAATGGAATAATTATCGAAGGAAAGAAACTAGGTCAACATTGTGAGTCACAATATCTAGCCCGCCAAATAATAGCCGTGAAAAACAAAAAAAGAGGAGAAATTTACAAGCGTTGCATTCAGCTATACACAATGGAATGCTTTCTATATAAACTAATAAATAAAGCACTAAGAGAAACCGACAACAGCAAAATAAACACTTTGGGACCATTCTGTTATATTCTATTCAGAAGCTGGTTAAAAACCAATTCGAAACATGCAGCGGAACTTTATCGAGGCGTAAACATCGATCAGAACACGTTAAAATCATATGTGGAAGCCACCAACCAGCAAAGATGCTGGAGCGGCTTTATCTCAACTAGCAAAAATCCACAAAAAGCCCAAACCTTCGGCAATACTCTATTCATTATCGACGCGACCCAAGACAGCAGCTTAGACATATCGCACCTTTCCCACTACGACGAAGAAGAAGTCATACTTGCTCCGGGAACAACATTTACAATCATGGACGTCAAGAAAACCACAACCAAAACCTATGTTTATTTGAAACTACTCAGTCACAACCATACTACCCCCATGCCAAATTTCCTTTTCCTCATCGCCAATTTCCCTCGTGAGTTGAGCATTCATGAGACGAAACTGAACTGTCATCTGGCGATATGGAACATCTAAAAGATAGATGTACAGTGTAATCGTTAGTATTCCTCACTAGCTCCATCATCATTGAGTCAGTTGTTGGTGACCTCTTCGTCGTCGGATGAGCATTATTGTGACGAAAGTGAAATGTTATCTGGTGCCATGGAACATCTAGGAGATAGATCTACAGTGTAATCATTATAATTTGCATTCTTCAATAGCTTTATCATCAATGAGTCAGTTCTTGGTGACCTCGTCGTCATCAGATGAGCATTGCTGTGACGAAAATGAAATGTCATCTGGTGCCATGGAACATCTAGCAGATAGATGAACAGATTCGTCCTTTGAATTCTTCACTAGCTGCATCATCATTGAGTCAGTTGTTGGTGCCCTCGTCGTGGTCACATGAGCATTGTGTGACCAAAGTGCAATGTCATCTGGTCCGATCGAACATCTAAGAGATAGGTGAATAGTCTGCTGATTGGCATTCTTCACCAGCTGCACCATCATTGAGTCAGTTGTTGGTGACCCCGTCCGCTTCAGATGAGCATTGCTCTGACGGATGTGAAATGTCATCTGGTGCCATGGAACATCTAGGAGATAGATGTACAGTGTAATGGTTGGTATTACTCTATAGCTGCATCTTCATTGACTCAGTTGTTGGTGACCTCGTCGTCGTGAGATGAGCATTACTGTGACGAAAGTGAAATGTCATCTGGTGCCGTGGGAGATCTTGGAGATATATGAATAGTTTGCTGCTTATTTGCATTCTTCACTGGCTGCATCATCATTGAGTCAGTTGTTGGCAAGCTCGTCCTCGTCAGATGATCATTGTGTGACGAATGTGAAACGTTATCTGGGGCCATGGAGCAGCTAGGAGACA